GTTAACAACATCTCAGCCAATTCTATCTGTCAACCAACATCTGTTGCCTGTGGAATATTCAAACTTTGAAGAAAATTTACAATATATCGCATTCATTGAAAATTAATAAGAATATGAAAAAAAAGAAAGAAAAAAATAAGCTTAATGACTAAATGAGGAAAGATGTCAAAATGAAGAAGAAGAAGAAGAAGAAGAAGAAGAAGAAGAAGAAGATTAAAAAGAGAGAAAGAAATCTCAAAGAGAAAATGAAGAAAGAAAGAATGAATGAAAGAAAGGAAGATAATTCAACAATGTAATGAAGAAGATAGAAAGAAAAAAGAAAGAAATTTAATGAGAAAGACGAAGAAGAAAGAAAGAAATCTCAAGAGGAGAATTAAGAAAGAAAGAAAGAAAGAAAGAAAGAAAGGAAAAAAGAAAGAAAGAATGAATGAATGAATGAAAGAATGAAAGGAAAGAATGAAGAAAGGGAGATAACTGAAGAAGGAGATGAAGAAAGTAGAAAGAAAAAAGAAAAAATTCAAGAGGAAAATGGAGAAAGAAAGAAAGAAAGAAAGAAAGAAAGAAAGATAAATCAAGAGGAAGAAAGTTAGAAAAAAGAAATACATTTCAAGAGGAAGAGGAATAACAGAGAAAGAAAGAAATATCAACAGCAAAATGAAACAAGAAATAAAAAAGCAAGAAAGAAAAGAAAGAAAAAAGAAAGAAAGAAAAAAGAAAGAAAGAAAAGAAAGAAAAAAGAAAGAAAGAAAGAAAGAAAAAAAGAAAGAAAGAAAGAAAAAAGAAAGAAAGAAGGAAAGAAAGAAAGATGAAAATCTTTCAAAGAACAGAAGAAAGAAATTTCAAGAAGGGTTATGTTAAAAAAATAAATACAAAAATGCGAGTCTGCAGAAAAATTATAAACTCGGAAGAAGTGAATGGGGAGCCTATGACTTTGAAGAAAAAGAAGATAGAAATGGTGAGATTAAATATATTTAGATGGTGAAAGAAGGAAAGAATAAAATAAAGAGGAGTTAGAAGAGAAAGAAATGGGGAGAAGAATTCCGAATAACGAACAGACCAAATGTGAACGAGAGAATGACGTCAGCAAAATGAAGCACTTATTGTAAGAATCAGAATGTGTTTTGCAGACGGTAAATGTTCAGTTTAAAAGAAAGAGGCAAGAGACCACGTCGCCAACATCGGCCAACCCTCTCCACCCACCTACTTCTATTTTATTTTATTTTTTTTTTTATCTACCCAACCCGCCAGCTTCTACCCGCCAATACCGGATTACTTTTCCTATTATTAGCCAAGCCTAAACCTTGAATATGCTCACAATATCGCGTTTTTTTTCTTAACTCTCTCATGCCTGCATGAAAATAATGTTTTTTTTTTTTTTATTACAAAATGCAATTATTATTGGGTCTTTCGATGATCGTAAAATATCGATTGATTGAGGATACCTTCCCTTTGGATATAATTTGAAAAATTCTACAACCTGCGATCTTTAAAAATTTAAATGCAATATAGATCGGCATTTAAGCCTCATCGTTTTACTGTTGAAATAGATACACGTGACCGGAAGTTCCATTCTAATAGTTTATTCCCTCGTGAAACTCTCTCTCTCTGCTTTCTTGTTTTCCCTGGTACCTACAATTTTCAAATGCAACGTCAATCGCCATCTTCTGCCTTCCGGAAATCTGTCCGTTTAATTCGCTTTCTCCTCACTAACGTCTTCTCATTCTCTTTCATTCCCAGTAACGCCTCCCACCCTTTGGGTCTTAGTGGCACAATCGCTTTCCGTGGGCGTGAAATGATTAAAAAAAAAATAACAGAAACTGAAATATGCGATTAAATACAATTCTTTAAATGTCGACAATGGAGGCTGATATGCTCGCTGTCAATTCCTTGGCTTGGAAAGAGAAACTGAAAATAATATCGATGGAATCATATACAGAGAGCGGCAGAAATACATCGTCCATTTTGCTACGAGTGAACTTATAAAATTGCCAATTGTATCTTCATCTAGCACAGCAGTAGTTCCCAACATTTTTTTTCTCTGGGCCCCATTTTCGGAATGAAAATGTGCTTGCAAATCACCATATTTTATGTGATTAAAGGTATATTTAAAATAAAAACCAAAAAAAAAACCCCCCAAAAAAACAGAGTGGGTTAAAGGGAGATAACCGGAGATTCAAAATCAGGACATTATCATTGATAACTCTCTCCTCCAATTTGAGGACCGATATACCAATACTTGATATAATGCAAAAATATCACAATGATAAAATTGGTCAATAATTATTTATAACTATTTACACTGGGACTCATGTTTCCAATTACAATTAATCCATAATTTTTAGAATTTGAAACCATATTTATTTTTGGCATATGAATTTTTTTTAAAACTGTTTCTAAATCTTCGATTGTCTTTTGATCATTCCGCCTCACCTGCTATCTTCTTGCGCCGAATCTACAAGGCACGCCACACCGTTTGGGAACCAGTGAGATAACGTCTTGCATTTCTGAGAGGTATATGCGAAAGTTATTTCTGTCGAACGCTGTATATGCTGTGTCGAGATAACTATTCGATATACCTATGTTTGAAATACGAACGTGGTCTTGCTTTGAGAGCGCCAATGCTGATTAACATCGGACTAACAACGCCCTTGTAAGATGGCATAGGGCTGTTTTGCAGCAAATGTCATCCCATCATCGCACAATATGGAAATTTAGAATTTGGGGACCCGCTTTATTACGTTTGTTTGTCCCCTGGGGTCTATAAAAAATATTTTTAGATGATGCTTTTTTTCTTTTTTTTTTCTTTTTTTGGTGTAAAACATGAAACATTCCAACTAAAAATTTTCCATGATTCTGGAACTCATCCAATGTATTTCATTATCAACTTCATGATATTTTTATCCGAACATTGCACCCTACAGAAATGTATCTAGAATAAAGAAGCAAATATTACATTGAAATTCTAGTATTCAAATCGTATCGAGAAAATTGTTCGAAAAAAACATTTATTCGAATTGTAAATTGTTTGAATGAAAATTAATTTAAAGGACATTTATACTGAATGATAATTATTCGAAATACCTATGTTTGAAATACGTATTTGGTTTTGCATTGAGGGAGTCAATGCTGATTTACGTAGAACTAATAAGGCCCTTGAAGGATGGCATAAAGCTTTTGTGTAGCAAGTGTTATTCCACAATATAGACATTCTTGGACGCTTTTAAAAGAGAATAGGACTTGCAAGAAATTCATATTGCAAAAGTAAGAGAAAGTTGACAAAATATAAAGAGCGCCAAGAAATACCTCAACGTAAATGGAAAAGTTTAAAAATTAGTGGCATCCTTTAACAAGTACTCTTCAGTAGTTGACTATTTGCCTGCAGTGTCATATAACTTAAGGTTATAAGGGTTTTTTTCTTACTAAATTAACGATATTTTTTATTTCGGATAATTATCATTTGTGTATTTCCTATTTTAAGTTTTACATTTTTATTGTAGTAAAAAATGTTGTATTTCGAATAATTATCATTTAGTATAATTGTCTTTTCGATTAATTTCCATCCAAACAATTTACAATTCGAATAATTTTTTTCGAAATCGTATATGTAGGTGGGAAAGTAATACAACAAAGGCCAGTTACAGTTGTACATTGAAAAACTCTGAGACACAGGCACGCTTAAATTTTAAAATTTAAAATTGGCTTACGATGTAACTAGATACATGATTTAGCTTTTAGTTTTTGTTATTTTAGTGTTTTTGAACAATGATATTCACTCAGTACAAGACCTTAGAACCCCTCGAGGTAGATGCTCACAGAGTAAGAGGCAGTGTTTATGTGCATAGGAGGGGAAGATAACTGTTAACCCTAAAACTGAACAGATCAAGATACTACTGATCGGGGAAGCATCCTCTTAGGAGTTGTAGAATATTAGTTGGCTTGCAAGGGGTTTGACACACAATTAGACTGGTGTAGTTGTTTCAAGCTGAATGAAGCCCTGAGTCATTTAATGGAGAGATATATGGTGGAATAAAATCCACTCATGCAAATGTGAAGGGCAGGTCTACAGAGCAAGGGTTCATGGAAAGAAGCTTCTCGAATGGAACTTATATCTCACTAATGGATCATGAAGAGAGGAAGGGTGATTCATTACAATGTGCGTGGCATGGCGAATCTTAGAACTGGTGGAACTAAGGAATATAGTTTGTCTGAACACTTGCCATGGAAATAGCGATAGGACGACGAGAAGCTTGCGACGTTTTGTCTATGAGAAAACGAGTTGTAGATCGAAAATAAGTCGTCCTTTACACAGTCGAGTAGATTCTCTCGAGCGCTATCGAGACTGGAAAGCGAATACTGTGCTGACCCTGCCCATATACGGTAGCAGTACACCATTTTCGGTCTGATCTGGCTCTTGTAAAGATAGAGAATATTAGAAGGAGTCAGGTACTTACTAGAATGGTACCAGGAATAGACCATTTTTGCAGCAGCTTTCATGATAGTATGCACGAGTTCTCTATGAAGCCTGTTTGAAGTTTGTTCTAATCGGCGCTCAAGACACGGGGTCACCCTGGCGTAACATAAGTTTATCGAGATTGGTGGATTTTTTTCGTTTGATCGGCGAAGACGGCTGACATAAATCAACTTCTTATCACTTTTTATTTTTTTTGTTTTTATTGTTATTGCCTTTCAATACCGCACACTCTAATAGCAGTAATTGTTTTATAAAGAATATACGCTGTATTATTTTAGACGTAAACTTATCGTGGGGGACTCTGAAATTAGCGCACTTTCAATACACTTTTAATTTATAGTATTATTATTATTATTATTATTAAAAAACGGAGTGATTGACGCAACTTTTCCAATATTTCTCAACTCTTACGGAAAAACGCGATTTAAGAAAAGAAAAGTCACAGTGTTTGACAATGTTGAATAATATTTAGACAGTATGTCTATATTCTTCAAGTTTTGTTTAAAAATTGTATACAAGTATATAAATACAAAAGAAAAATAAATAAAAAAAATAGATAAGTCTTTGTACAAACGTCACTTGTCTTGAGAAAACGGACGTACTGGTAATCACCGCGTCAAAACGAATGAAATGCAGCCAGCGTGAATGGCATGCAACTGAAACGTCTGTAATATGATAGTGATCGTGCTCATCTTGAAATGTTTCGTTAGTTTATTAGTTACTAAGAAGTATTAGTCAAACATTTTAGTATAAAATCTTTGGAACTCTCCTGTCATTATGTTATTTCCTCCAAATAAACAGATTGACAGGAGAGTTCCTACAAATTTATACTAAAATGTTTGACTAATTCTTTTTAGTAACTAATTAACTAACAGAACATTTCAAGATGAGTACGGTCACTATCATATTACACACGTTTCAGTTGCAGGACGAGAACTTAGGAGTTTGCATACGTAATATCATTATTATTATCATTATTATATGCAGATATTGAAGTGAAAACTCCTCGGTAATGAGGCAACATCCAACAATAACTGGATATCAAACTTAGCTTTATTTGTATTCCAACTAATCCCTAACCAACAGGAGACTAACTTTAAATATTCTTTTTATAATAGACGCTTATTATAACAAAGTTTTCTTTTAATAAAGTGCGGGAGGACGGAAAAAGAAAAGAAAAAGAAGTAAAAAGATTAATATCTTTAGTTTAAAATTACTAAATTAACGATAGCTGTAAAATAAGCATATACTTGTTCAGTACATCTGTTAATTTCTAATTTCAGAGTAAAAACAAGATTGGCATCTACGCGGATGACACCACAATTTATTCCTGCCTCAAAAA